TAGAATATTTAACATGGATAGGTGTTCTACTAAATATTGAATATGTGTTTATTTATTCCTCATAATAATTCTTCATAGTAAATGATAGTATTGTAATCCAATTTTTTTCTTAAATTCTTTCACTAGTACATTTCAGGCACACAACACGTCTACATTCATCACTGGGCACCTGCACCTGCACATGATGTATCCTGGTTCCCACCCCTTCCCAATTCCCTGGTGGGGGAAGTGTGGGGGGGTGGAGGAAGGGAGAGAGGGGAAGGGAAAAGTTATGGTAGGGGAAAAGGGTGGAAATGGAGTCTTTACATCCAATTTTACAGATAAGGAAATTGAGGCAGTATAGTTAGCCAAGATAACATAGCTGGTATTTTGCACAACAAGTGAAGTTAGCCTGTATGTATTCAAAGTCCAATTTATTTAAATTTAAATATGATTTTATGCACATTGAGGCCTTAATTATCTCTGGCCAGAGTCTAAAAGTAGGCATTGTATAACATTAGCACATTTAGCTTGCATAAAAAGCTCAGCTCAAAGTCTGTTGTTTGTTTGCTTGTTTTGCTTACATTAGTGCTTGTTTGCAGTATGTAATAATTACATTCTCTGCGGAGCTTTGGTACATGTACATGACATATCTTAATTCCTTTTGCATTTCCTTTCCTTGTCCTATCTCCCGATCCCCTTCCCGTTTGCTGAAAAAATCTGTTTCCCTGCTTCCTATTATCTGTCTTTTATTTCACTCTTTATTTATATTTTGAGTTTCTCATTTAAGAGAAACCATGTGAAATTTAAGTTTTTGTGTCCGATTTATTTCATTTTACATTATGTTCTCAAAATGCATCCATTTTCCTACAAAGGGTTCAAGTTTATTCTCCTTTATGGCAGAGTAGTACTCCACTGTGTATAAGTATCTTATTTTCTAAAATCCATTCCATTTTGTGTTTCACAGGCATCCTATAAAGAATGATGAAGTAACTTGTCCAACTTTGCAGACAGTAATAGAAAGAAAATTTTACTCAGTGTTCTAGGTCCTGTCTCTGTGTCCCAGTCTGCTTTGATATTCCAGTCTACTTGTTCATATTGTACTCTTTCAATTTCACGTATCTTATTTTGAAAAATAGATCATATGATTATTGTCCTATTAATACCACCTCATAGTGAGCTCCACTTTGAAGTGCTAAACTATCTACCATAAGTCACAAGTCAGGAATTATACATGATCCCACTGTGTTTATGTCTGTTGTCTACCCTATGCTTTGATCCCATGCTCCCACAACAGTTCCCTTTCTCAACTTTTATGATATTTGTTTCATTTGATTTCTTTTGGTAATGTTTATGTCTGAGTATTACCTGAACAGAAAAAGTGTCCTATTTTCTGTCATCAGAAACAATTATT